ATCTGTGGTTTCCACGTCTCTGGAGTCATACGGACAAAGCCTTATGGCCAATGGTATTTTTTTATATTTGCCCTCCAGTACCGCAGAGGGGAGAGCATGGCATTTTGCTAACAAAAAGGCTTTCCGATGGCTGGGTGTTTCGAGCTGTATAAGATAACTGGCGGCAGTGACGATATATTTATTGTGCGCTGGAGACAGGAAGGATAGAACCTTCCCTAGATTTGCTTGCCGCTCTATATCCTTTATCCTTTGTTTCAGTTCTTGTTTGGCCTGGTTGTATTCCATCTCGAGAACTGAGGATGGGGAATAGCCTAGCTGTAAAAGATTAGAATCAATGGCCTTAATCCATGTGGACTGAAAGTTATCCTGAAGAGTGAGAGGTGCTGGGCCTTTGGGGTAAAAATTGAACTTTAGCCAAAGGTTAAGAGAGGCTAGACACACTCTTGACTCAACTTTTGGCATAAAGGTGCATTTGAAACACATCGAGGTATCTGGAGCGCTGCTCTGATGAATTTAGATTGCACTCTTTCCAGAGGTGTGAAACACGAGAGTGGAGGGCCAACTAGAGTCCCACAGAGCAGCTGAGCTAACAATTTGGCCTGAAAGAGTTTGAGTGTGGCTGGAACGTAAGGTCCTCCCTTACAACGAAAAAATTTTAAGATGGCATTGGCAGATCTTTGTCCAGAAGCTGCAGCATATTCACAGTGGGCTTTTCTCGAGCTGGAGGCATGGATGATTACACCTAAATACTTGAAACTGGTCACTTGCTTTATTCTGTGGTCATGAATACTCCATGAATGGAGTTTCCGCCTATTGGCAAAAGCCATTACCTTAGTTTTCTGGTAGTTTATTTCCAGTTTAGTGTTATCACAGTGCTGGGCCAGAGTTTTCAGAGCTCTTTTGAGGCCTATGAGTGTTCTAGAAAGAACCTACAGCATCATCTGCATAGAGTAACAGGGCAATGCTAATGTCCCCTAGTTTAGGGGGATGGAAATCTGGATTGTTTAAGCAATTCATCATTTCGTTGATATAAAAGTTGAAAAGTAGGGGGGCTAGACTACAGCCCTGTTTCACCCCCTTCTGAACTTTAATTGGCTTCGAGAGAGACCCTTGCATATTCCACCTGATCTTAAGGATCATATTGGTGTGTAGGGTATGGATTAAATGCAGAAGCCTGTGGTCAATTGATGTAGCTTCCAGTTTCTCCCATAGTCTGGTCCTAGATACCAAGTCAAAAGCTGCCTTAAGATCTATAAAGGCAATATACAATGATGTTGTTTTATTGGTTGAATATTTTTCAATCAAAAGCTGTAGGACCACACATTGATCAATAGTGCCTCTACCTTCTCTGAAACCAGCCTGCTCTTCTCCTATCAGGTTTCCCTGATTCAGCCAATCCTTAAGTTTTTCATGGAGAAGTTTGCCATAAAGTTTACTAATTATGTTTAACAGACTGATTGCCCTATAATTGGCAGGTTCATCTCTCTTACCCTTCTTGAAGATTGGGACTATAATTGCCAAGCCCCAGTCCTTGGGGACACACCCAGTAGTGTCAGTATAGGTGAAGAGCAATGTCAACACTGGAGTCCACCACTGTATGTTGTTCTTTAATAATTCTGGAGGAATAAAGTCAGCCCTCAGGGCCTTCCCCTTTCTGAGTTGGCCAATGAGAGACTTAATTTCAGATGCTGATACAGGGGGCCACTCAGGCAGAACTTCCTTCTTTTGCATTGCTGTTTCGTTGGAGGGCTCTTCATGCATCCTCTGGAAGTGTAATTCCCAGGCTTTAGATGGTATATGAGAGTCTAGTGAAGTAGAAGTTCTAGACACCTGGTGGGATATTAAATGCCAGAAAAGAGAGGAGTTCTTTGTCTTCACTGCTTCCATGAGTCATTTCCAGGTCGTTTTTATGTCTTTTTTCTTCTTATCAGCCACTAGATGCTTATACTGTTTTTAAGGATGAGAAGGTGTTCGAGGGTCTTGGTGCTTGTCCCCTGTCTCGGGTTTATACAGATGGTAGGCTGTGGTGAGAGCTTTCTTAGCTTCTGCACAGTCTTTATCAAACCATGGCTTTGATAAGGTTGAGGATCTCGATTAAGAGAAGTTGAGGTCACAAGCCAGTAGAGGTTATAGTTTTTGTGATAAAGGTTTGTACAGGATCAGAGGAACTTGAGTGAAATTGGTTGATATGAAAGTAATTTGACATTTTTGCAGATTGTCCTCCATCAGTGCCTTATTCATCTTCTGGTCAAGCTGCAGGATCCATGTGTCACAGCGTCTTGCTTGTCCTGCTGGGGAAATTGCAGGAGTAAAATAAGCCTCGAGGTGCATCTGCTGAGAGTAGGGGGCTTCAAGTATAAACAGAGTGGGAGATGATCACTATCTAAATGGGGTAGTACCTTGAAATTCTCCACATAGTGTAGTAGGTTCGTGATAATTAGCATGTAATTGATGGTACTTGTTCTGACCCCTGCCATGAATGTAAATTTGCCTGGATCATCTCCTACAGTGGAACCATTTAGTATGAGGAGGTTGAACTTATTTGCCAATTTTGCAAGACAAAGCCTAACATAGTTAAATATATTGTCTTTGGACAGACGCAGGATGGGGGTGCAAACTGAGTTATAGTCTTGAGCTGGTGGGTACTGATGAAATTTGGTGTATAAGGTATAGTCATCAGAGCCTATCCTGACATTAAAGTCACCCCCAAGAAGTACCATGGCTTTGGGATATTCCGGAAGAAGGTTGCCGATATATTGCTCTAACTCCGCCCATGTTGCATTGATTTCAGCTTTTCTTTGCAGTGGAGGGAGGTGAACACTGATGAGTAGCAAAGAAGCAGTACCCAAGCCAAGAAGTAGGGCCAAAGCCATTTGTTTTAATGGGGGAATAGATATAGGTACTACCTTAGAGAGGTAGAGATAAGGACGTCCAAGCTGCCTTTCAGCCACCCTGGTCCTCTGCCTGGAATTGCTTCAGTTTTATATGAATGGTATCCATTAAGCAGGTCGTCAGCTGTCCATGTTTCTTGCAACAGTATTACATCCTTACTGGGGTAGGTTTTGGCTGCGGCGGCGGCTTGGACGTACGCGAGGGCTTCTCCTTCTCCTGCCTCTGAGCTTTTATCTCAAAGAAAGTTGAGCTTCTCAATGGACTGCCGGGACTGAGAAGAGGGAGCTGCCTGGAGAGGTTCCCTAATCTTCTGAGAAGTTAAGGTAGATTTCTTTTTCAACCCAAGAAAAAATCCTGCTACTATTACCAAAAGGCAAAAGTAAATCTTAATGTGGATTACAATTTAGTTTCAATTATAAGACTG